AAAGCCTCATCTTTCTCCCGCGGAGCGGCTGGTAGTTTCGAACCGCTGACCTTAAGGTTCGCAGCCCGATTCGTAACCACTACGCTACCAGAGCTCCTAGAAAGAACAAAAGGATCACTGGGGACAAATCACTGTGAGAATTGTACCAGTGAATCACAAATTCCACTGCATAGAGCATTTACATCAGTCTTCCTTATGTGGTAATCATAAAAACTAAACAACAGAAGTTCTTTAACATGTGCAAAAAACTGCTGAGGTGGGGACTGGTTTACGTTTTTACAATGATCCTGCTTTTGGACTGTTGTATTTTATAGATGTAAGGAACTTGGTGGGGAAATCTGATTGTCTTTATAATGCTCTTCTGATTTTCTTTTCGTACCCTTCCCAGGGTACCTACAGTGAAAACAGTCCTTGAGATTTCTGACTCTCTCTCTTTGTCTTTTTTTTAATGTTTTATTGTGATTTATGTGATAGTTTACATGGGAGAACATTAGTTTTACATTCATCCTATTGTATACTGTCTCATTGCATTATCAACCAATGAAAGGGTATACACTACAAGCCTGTCCGCTGGTCGTCAGCACACAGTCCCTCTCCCTCTCTGTGTCTAAAGTCCCCAACTGCTCCATATCTCCATGTCATCATCTCTGCCTCCATTTCAGGCATCTCTGCTTCTTTGGGTTAGGGTCCCGCTCTCTGCTCTTCTCCCTTGATGGTCCCAGGGACTTCTGCTCCTAGACTGAAAAGTTAATCATGCCCCTCCTTGCTACAAAACATCTACCTTTACGTTTCCAACCCTCACAAGCAGTCCTGATAACAATTATTCACTATTGTATCACAAGAGACCCATCTGCATTTCATTTCATCAGCCTCGCCTAGACAGATTGTATACTACTCAGTGGAGATTCTACCTTCCTTCACGCCCTCTGAATCTAGGTTCCTTCTTGAAAGCTTGTAAGCCAGTCACTTCTTGCCTTTGTAGCCCCCCATTTTGGGTAGCCAATGGAGATTTCTTACTCTGTTGGGGTGAGGGTCAGAGGGCAGATGGTTCCGTCCTTCCTGCCTGTCTAGTCCTTTCTTCTTCCTTCTGCTTTCAGATCAGGATTCAGGTGATTGAGGGGCGCCAGCTGCCGGGCGTGAACATCAAGCCTGTGGTTAAAGTCACCGCAGCTGGGCAGACTAAGCGGACACGGATCCACAAAGGAAACAGCCCACTCTTCAATGAGGTACACACATTAGGTCTGGGTCCTGGGTGGGCCTTCCACACTGGGAGCCTGGAGCAGACACCTGGACAGTCATTGGAGGGTCTTTGTAGAGGGCCCCAACTTTGGGTTGAGATCCTGGGTGGGCTATCTGAGAGTTGGAGAATAGGGCTGTCTCTCTGCTCCACATCCCTGTCATCCTGTAAGGTCAGACACCCACCCTTCCCTGAGATGGCAAGCTCTGATGAAACTGCACGAGCTCATGATTCCAGTATCAACACGATGTTGAGCTCAATCCACAGGGCTGAGCTCAATCCACACTTCCTGCATGGACTGAAGTGAAGTTGACACCACAAAATAGTCAGACTTGTGGGCAGTGCTCACCCTCTCCCCAGCCTAGTGGGTCAGTGGACACTGACTTGTTTTTCTCTTTCTTGAACCAACAGACTCTTTTCTTCAACCTGTTTGACTCTCCTACAGAGCTGTTTGATGAGCCTATCTTTATCACGGTACAGTCCAGCCACCAAAGCTGTGTGTCATGCATGTCAGTGTGCATGTGTGCTTAGAGTGCAGCTGTGGACACATCAGTGTACTTGTACACATGTGACTTGAGGGTGTGTGTGTCTGTCAGTGAGCATCTGTGTGTGAGAGAGGAGAAGTGTAAGAAGGGGGCTTGTATGATGCGAACTAACTTTCAGTCAGTCTCTCCTGGCCACAGAAATGTTTGAGGCAGCTCAGAAGAGAGGCAGCAGGTGGGTGGGGAGACCCTACTGTCCAGCATCCCCCAGATGCCTCAGCTCAGGGCGCCTAAATCCCTGGTTGTGGCAGATATTCTGGTACTCAGTATATTTGTCTTTGTGGCTGTTTCCAGTAAGATTTTCTTTCTCTGAGCCTCAGTGTAGTATAATGGTTAAAAGTGTGTATTTTGGATCCACTGCCTGGACTCGATTAAGTGATAAGTGTTGGCTATTATTGTTTAGGGAGATTTAGATGGATGTAGTGTTTATTGTTTTGGGAGACTTAGCTGGGTGTGTTATTTTGGGAGGCTTAGCTGGGTGTGTTGTTTTGAGAGACTTAGCTGGGTGTATTGTTTTGGGAGACTTAGCTGGGTGTAGTGTGGCTCTGATGGGGCCTCACATGTACTTGTAAGTGTGAGTATTCATTTATCTTTCCTTCTAGGTGGTAGATTCCTGTTCCCTCAGGACAGATAGTCTCATCGGGGAGTTCCGGGTAATTGTTTTATTTGCTTTTGAAGGCAGTTCGTTCTCGATTATCCATTCATGGAGAAATTTGTGGATAATGCAGCATGTGACTAGTGCTTCAGAAATCCTGTTCTCCTGGGTCTGGGAAGGCAGTGTGAGGTTTGAGTTTGACAGCCTTCCTCTTAATTCTGACTGCCTCCGGCCAGCGGCACACCGACTCAGTACCCTGATTTAACTCTGGCTCTGGGCTGGGGAGTGGGGTCCGGATGTGGCTGGGGTGGGATGGGGGGGCTTGGGAGCAGTGGAGAGAGCCGGCAACCTGTAGGACTCACTGTGGAAAACTGAGAGCTGACTACATGGTTTCACTCAGAGGGTAGATAACAAATTGCTTAAAATACAACCAGTAAAATCATATGTGTCGGAGTAGAACTGTGCTCCATAGAATTTTCAGTGGTTGGTTTTTCAGAAATAGATCTCCTGACCTTTCTTCTGAGTGAAACTCTGGGTAGGCTTGAACCTTATAGTTAACAGCCAGGTGCTTTAACTGTTTGCACAACCCAGAGATGCATGACGTCAAGAACTAGTAATGGGGATCTCAATGGCATATTAATGTGATTTGTACTGATTTCCTCATTTTTGAATCTTCAAGCAGTTATCCCAAAGAAAGCGAAGGCAGAGGCTTCTTTTCACCTGTTACTACTCTCCAGATTAAATATGCATCCCTTCTCTGTGAGGAAGGAGCCCTGGTGGCGCTAGACGTTAGGCATTGGATCGTCAACCAAAAGCTTGGTAGTCCAAACCTAGCAGCCACTTCTCAGGAGAAAGACGATGCTGTTTGATCCCATAAAGATGTTTTGAATTGGAATTGACTAATGGCAATGAGCAGTGGATTCTGTGGGAAGTGCTCACAAGGTGAAAACCTGAATCGATTTTTCTAGAGAAGCCGTCTATAAAGAAATGGGTTCCAGGTTGAGTCATTCTGTAACAAATAGGCCCTTTACTGTATTTTGAATCGCTAACTTTTTGAAACACTTTATTCCTCAAACCTTCTCAAAACCAATCCCATTGCCATAGAAGTAATTCCAACTCATTGTGACCCTGTATAGGGTGTCTGAGGCTGTAAATCTCTATGGGACCAGAAAGTCTCATCTGTCTTCAGCATTACAGTGTAACAGTCCAGTGCTTAGCAGACAGTGCTCCAGGGCTCCATCTGTGAGTCTAAGGGCTAAATTATTTTGTTTTCCAGTTATGAAGATAATTAAGTCTTTTTATAGAATTATAAAACCCATGAAAGAATAAAAAAGAGAAGAAAAGAAATCACCCAAACCTACATAGCATTGTTACCAACCTGCGGTATTTCTATTCCTCTCTCTTCTCTTTTCTATGTATGGATAGACTTTACCAAACTGGGATGAAAACATAATCTGCTTTCTTCCTATATAATAGTATATGATGAACATTTCCCCACATCACCAAATGCTTTTCCAAAACTTGATTTAAATTACATTATACTAATGTAGCACTTCAGGGACACGGGTCTGATTGGCCTTTCCTCTCTTTGATTTCAGATGGACGTGGGCACCATTTACAGAGAGCCCCGTGAGTTGAGTTTTCATTATTTGGCCACATCCTTGCATGGGCCCATAACCCTGGTTCTGGAGGCTGCTTGGGGACACCCATTTGTGACGTCCATTTTTCCTCACTGGGAATTTTAGAATTGAGAAGAGGGGTTTGATCTCAGTGGTAAAAGCTACCGGAAGGTTTTCACGCTCCAGGTAAAGCAGGTGACCTCCTCAGGAAGGTCAGTCCTCACCTGTGCCCACAGTTGGCCCAAGTCAAAGATCCTAATTTTGGAAGGTCCCAAGCAAGGGTTTCTGGAGGCTGGAATTACCTCAGACAAGGACAGGGCATTTGGGTGAAAAGTCTAGGATTTCTCTGTACCCTGATTTCTGCCTTGGACTGGTCCTCCTTAGACAACAAGCCCCTGAGGGGGGAGAGGAAAATGACCTCTTCTACTTTTGTCCTTAACACCCTTATGTAGGGGTTCCTGATAATAGTTCTGGCTTTTGCCCATATGAACACTCAAGGTCCCTTCTGATTCTCCAGTTTGAGTCTTACCCCAGTGTCCCAGTGGGTGAGCCCTTCAACTTACTCACATATGACCCTAGGCTCCTGCTTGTGTTTGCATATGTGGGTCCTTCCAATTCTGGAGTTACCCATGGATACTGTCTCTAATTTTAGGACATGCCTATCTCAGGAAGTGGCTACTGCTCTCAGACCCTGATGATTTCTCAGCTGGGGCCAGAGGCTACCTAAAAGCCAGCCTTTGTGTACTGGGGCCAGGGGATGAAGCTCCGGTAAGTACACTTTCCTGAGTCTCAGCACCTTACATAGTGCCATCTGGTGGAGACACCGAACCACAACCCAAACAACATGATTTTCTTTCTGATTTAAAAGAATCCATATTAATTATCTTGATGACACTTAACAACAACAATAATATTAATTATGAGAAGTGTAGAGCATGTGGACAAAGATTTTAAAAATCACTCATAATTCTACCACTTAGAGATAGCTGTCATTAATATCTTGTGTATTCTTCCAGAAGGATGTTCCAACTGGTATGTGTATATTTTTTTACAATAATGATAGTATTCTACAAATATAGAACTATCATTGGATTTTTTTTTTTTCTTGAAAATATATCATCATTTTTACATGTCAGTTGTTAAACGCTATCAAGAAACTCTATATAGGGTTTCCAAGGAGTCGCTGGTAAGCTTGAACCACTGTTCTTGTGGTTCAAACCGACTTTGTAGTCCAGTGCATTAGCCCACAGCGCCACACCAGGACTCCTAGTAATAAGTCAGAGGTAGTAAGAAAGTGAAAGGTCTTGAGGATTGGGGAGGCATCAACATCTTTATACACAGCTTAGACCTCAGTCAAGTCAAACCCAATGCAACGCACTGCCATACAGTAAATTCTGACTCATAGCAATCTTACACAGAGTTTCTGAGGTGGTAAATCTTTATGGGAGCAAACAGCCTCATCTTTCTCCCAGGGAGTGACTGGTGGGTTTGAGCTGCCAACCTTGCAGTTAGCAGCCCAATACTTACACCAGCAATTGTTTTTAAAAATGGCTGGTATGGGACAGAAACGAAGGCTTTGTGAAACACGTGCTGTATGCCAGGTACCTTTGCATCATCATCATCATTATCAAAGTTAATCCTCATGACAATCCTGTGAGGTTAATATTACTGTTTCCACAGTGCAGATGAGGACGCTAAGTCCCAGGTTACGGAACTTCCCTGGGGTCACAGGTAGTCAGTAGCGGAGTACGATCTGCCTTTCTTCAAAATGTACCCTCTGAAGGGGTTAAGGTTGAGCTCCTAGAAAAAGAAGGCAAGACATGGTGCTGAAGAGCGCTTTCAGAATCATGTTTGATTTCCTTTGTAGCTGGAGAGAAAAGATCCCTCTGAAGACAAGGAAGACATCGAAGGCAACCTACTAAGGCCGACTGGTGTAGCCCTTCGAGGAGCCCACTTCTGCCTGAAGGTCTTCAGGGCAGAGGATTTACCTCAGAGTAAGTCTGGCACCCTCTCTCTGTATGGAGGCCCCCTAGAGCCAGGCTCTCACTGGGTCATTAAGAAGGCAGACTCTGTAGGACCAAAGCCTCTTCTCTTGGGAAAGAAGATGCCCAAGCTTGTGAGTCCCTGGGACCCTTTCTCGGTTCCTGTCAGAGCCTCACCCTTCTCAGGGACTGCTCCTCTGCTCCCTTCCTGCCCATCCCCCTTGACTTACCATCCTCACCTTAGGGTCTACTGGAAGCCTGTATAGGGCTCAGTTTTCCCTCACTCTGCTGCTGGGAGTTCCCTCAAGGACTTTTTTGGGCTTCCCAAGGGTTTTAATGTTCTTAACACAGAATATCAATCAAAGTTGAAGAAAAGCAATAAACGCTGGTGGAGTTACTGAGATGCAGGTGATCTGGGGGTTATAGCTGCCTCTGGTCTCCACTGCAGGCCTCCTGGGCCTGGCCTGGCAGTTTAGTCACTCTGTGGGTCCATTTTCTTGGTTCTCACCATGGTGCCAGCACCACCCAGACTCTCTCTTTAACCTGCAGTGCCGGAGCCCATTGAGTTACCCTCCCCTCCATGAAGAGTCCCTGGCCTGCAAATCTGCAGACGCTGAGCTGGGGATATGGGAAGGATTTGCTGAAGGACCCCAGGCACCCAATGTCACAGGAATGAAGAGCATTGGTCCAGGGCTGTCACCCACTAACTCAGTTTGTCCCAGACTACCCTGCTCCTTAGAAACCCTATACAGGGTCACTATGGGTTGCAACCTACTTGACGGCACTTAACAACACCACCAACAACTCTGGTATCAGCATTAAAAGTCCCATGTCTTGGAAAACCACTCAGTTACCTGCCATGGTAGATGGTGACCCACCCTCACTGTGTCCTTACTGTTGTCCCCCAGGAAGACCATTGTGGCCACTGCCTGACTTGTTACGGTGGCTAGCCCAGAACTTGATCCTCTCTGTGTTCAGTAACCACATGGAAAATTATACTGACTATTCTAGAGCTGTAGGTGTCAACCCTGACTGCCCATGAAAACCATCTCTAGGGACTCCTGGTATGGTGCTGTAGGATCAACACTGGACTGTGAACCACAAGGTTGGCAGTTCAAACCCACCAGCTGCTCTTTGGAAACCCTATATGGTTCGCTAGGAGTTGGAACAAATTTAACGCCATTTAACAACAAGAAGAAGGGAGTTTTAGGAGTTCCTGGGTGGCAAAAATGGTTAAGCGCTCAACTGCTAACTGAACAGTTGGTTGTTCAAATCCACCCAGAGGCGCCTCACAGGAAACACCTGCCTTTGAAAGGTCACACCCTGCTGGGCCCAGTTCTACTCTGACACACATGCGGTCACCGTGAGTCAGAATCCACTCGGCAGCAGCTGACAAGGCAGCTTTAAAAAACTACAGATGCCTGGACCCCACTTCCAGATATTCCTTTGACGGGTCTGATGGTGAGGCAGTGTTTCAGAGCGTGCCTTATTGGCATTTAGGTAGTCACTGTCCACAGCACAGAAGAATCAGCACAAACATTTGCAACTTGGGTTCCTGCTTACAAGTTTTACATAAAGCTTAATAGTTATCTTTTTTAGAGTGTCTTAGTTATCTAGTGCTGTTATAACAGAAATACAAGTGGATGCCTTGAACAAATTCATTCTCTCACAGTTTAGGAGACTAAAAGTCCACATTCTGAGTGCCGACTCTAGCGGAAGGCTTCTTTCTCTCTGGGTTGTCTCTGGGGAAAGGTCCTTGTCTGTTTTCAACATCTGTGAGTCCAGCATTCCTTGGAGATCTCCATGCCTCTTAGTGTCCATCTTCCCCTGGATCTAGGAGCTTTGCAGTGCAGGGACCCCAAGTCCCAGGATGCACTCCACTCTTGGCTCTCCTTTCTTGGTGGCAATAGGTCCCTCTAAGCTCTGTTTGCCTTTTTTATATCTAAAAAGAGGCTCACTTAAGATACTTAACCTAATCTTGTAGATTGTACCTGGCCTCATTGACATCATAGAATCGACCATTTACAACACATAGTATAATTACATCAGATCAGGACTGATCACATCTGATCACAGCATGGGGAAGGTGATGACATTATATTGGATCTCATCATGAGGGATTATTGCTGTTGTTGTTGTTAAGTGCTGTAGTGTCTGTTCTGACTCATAGCGTCCCTAGAGTTTCTGAGGAGCAGTTGGTGAGTTTGAACCACCGACCTTGTAGTTTAAACCGACCTTGAGGCCCAGTGCTTATCCTCCAACACCACACCAGGACTACCACATCTTAACTGTTAAACCCCTCCCTGAGAGGCCTGGCCCAGCCAAGTTGACACAAAGCCTTAAGTATCATAGAGGGTTCTGAGTTAGGTGAATGATACCAGTAGATAAAATGGGTTCTTTCAGTTTAAGCTTATTTACTCAAAGATAATTTTAAAAGCTTTAAATAAGTTGTAGTTAGCAGCTGTTTTATAATAGTTTTCCATTCCGCAACTTATACACATTTTGTTTTGGTCTTTGATTGCAGTCCTTTCCACGGAACAGCACTCTTCCCACTTCCTCCTTGGGTTCCTGTTTCTGATACCAATAGCTCTTCTTTCTTTTCCCTTCCTCCCTTCTGAACTTCACTTTGTTGTTGTTGTCAGGTGCCATTGAGTTGGAACCGACTCATAGCGACCCCATGCACAGCCGAATGAAACAATGTCCAATCCTGGGCCAACCTCACTACCGCTGCCACACTTGAGTCCATCAATGATGCCACCTGGCCAATCCATCTCGTTAGGGATCTTCCTCTTTTTCTCTGACTGTCCACCTTACCCAGCATGACACCCTTCTCCAGTGAGTGTTTCCTCTGGACAATATGTCCAAAGTATGAGAGACGAAGCTTAGCCATCCTGGCCTCCAAGGAGCACTCTGGCTGCACTTCATTTTATAGGGGGCAAATCCTGTTGTAGGCATGTATTTTAACACCTATTTAACACATGAGTTAGGGGTTGTTAAGTGCTGTTGAGTCAGTTCTAACCTATAGTGACCTTGTATAGGGTTCCAAGGAGTGGCTGGTAAGCTTGAACCATATTAATCCACAGCACCACATACATTTAAGGTGAAGGAATTTTAAGTTTATTTCTCTGTAATGTTTTGTAAATGTAAATAAGAACAGAAGAGGTAGGTAAATAGAACATAGGTAATTTCTAACTCCTGGTGTGGTGCTGTGGGTTAATGTACCAGACTACAAAGTTGGTTAAACTGTAAGGTCGGCAGTTCAAGCTCACCAGTCACTCTTCAGAAACCCTATATAGGATCGCTATGGGTCAGAACTGACTTGATGGCACTAACAACAGCGGTTTCTAATTGGTGTTAACCTCTTGTAGACATTAGTTAGTTTACAAGGGATTTTCAAAAGTTCATTAGAAAATTCCTTTATCTTTCAGTTCCATTTTCCCACAAATTTTTGAAGTCCCCTTGTAGAGCTTTTGTTTTCCTCTTTCACTCTCTCCTTCATATGCATTGTTGTTGTTATGCACAGTTGAGTTGGTTCTGACTCATAGCAACCCTGTAAAGGATTTCCAAGGAGCACCTTGTAGGTTTGAGCTGCCTACTTCTGGTTAATAGTCTAGGACTTACCTAGACTACTAATGGTGCAACACCATTCATATGCATATTGTTAAGTACCTTGGAGTGGGTCCTGACTCATAACAACCCTCTATAGGGTTTCTGAGACTGTATATCTTTGTGGGAGTAGAAAGCCTCATTATTCTCCCCCGGAGCGACTGGTGGGCTTGAACCGCTGACCTTGTGGTTTGCAATCCAGTACTTATCCTATGGAGCCACTGTGTTCATTCATATACATACATACATATGTTGTTGTTGTTGTTGTTGTTGTTGTGAAGTGCCATCGAGTCGGTTCCGACCCATAGCCACCCTGTACAGGGTTTCCGAAGCTGTAAATCTTTACAGGAGTAGAAAGCCTCATCTTTCTCCCGCGGAGTGGCTGGTAGTTTCGAACCGCTGACCTTAAGGTTCGCAGCCCAATTCGTAACCACTACGCTACCAGAGCTCCTTATACATACATGTACTGAACTGGTTAATTTCCACAAATACCTTTACGTACATACATACATATACGTAAAGGTATTTGTGGAAATGAACCAGTTCAGTAAAACGTTTGGTTTGGCACAGCATGGATTCTAAATGTAAAAAAATAAAGCAGAATGGACTTACTGTCTGAGCCTATCTCAAGCACTGTGCTCATGGATTTAAAAGAAAATGTCCAACAGATACCCACATGGCATATTATAACACCTCCCAGGCCCTTCCTGGTTTGCTTTCTGCGTTTAGTGATAACAGATTTCTAATCAGTCAGTTGGCAGAGCAGAGGGACAAATAGTTTGGGGCCCCAGTGTTCTGACAATCCTCCCTCCCACAATCCCTGGGCTTCAGGGGCTGAGGAGACTTCTTCTGGGAGTCTCAGGACTACCTGGAGATGGGGTTTAGGAGGTGGGGTGACAGATGGGCAGTGACTGACAATGTTCTCCTCCCCAGTGGACGATGCTGTGATGGACAATGTGAAACAGATCTTCGGCTTTGACAGTAACAAGAAGAACTTGGTGGACCCCTTCATGGAGATCACCTTTGCAGGGAAAATGGTAAGAAGCCAGGAAGCAGGTGGGTTCTCATTGGAGGGTCACTGCTGGGCATCCCTGTGGACTGAGTGAGGTGTGCACACGGCCCCCAGCTCCCACAGGGAATGGAGCACCATCCTGGTGGCCCTCATACAATCCCAACTACCTGGGGTGTCTGGATGGACAGAAGTGTTTGGGAGCAAAGTGAGTAATAGCCTCAGAATCAGACATATAAAGATAGGGAAAGTGGGGTTTTAATTTTTTTTCTTCTTTAATGTGTTGTAAAAACACAAGAATTATTTTTAAAAACTTGTGGCAGAGAGAGCCATTGTGGTAGGGAGCCCAGGTTCTTTCCTTGCAGCCTAGAAGCAGGGCTTGCACACACTTGCTCAGTTCTGTTGATTTCTGTCGGGAAGGTGTGGCTCCCTCGGCTCTGCCCTAAACAGGCCAGTCCTCCCAGTGTGCCCACCTGCCTGGCATTCTCCCCACAGTCCCTTCATTCCCAGGCTCCACACAGAGGGCCCTCAAGGCTCTAGTGAGCTCCTACCTTGCCCTTCCACTCCAGGGCTCCCCAGGTCTCTGAACTCTCCTTGTTGTCCCATGGACACGTTGAAGGATTTATTTTCTCTGTCCTAACCCACCCCACTTCCAGGAGCCTCAGTCCTAATCAGGGGCCACATCAAAGGCAGCCCCCGCCCCTCAAGGCTAGCTTCAGGCACCGCTAGGAAGGTTCCTCTCCCTTTCCTAGAGTTCCACCTGCTACTGAACTCAAGTTGGACTCGTTGAGTTGGATGACTTGGGTGTTGTCTTAGGCTTCGTTTTCTAGAGAAGCAAACCCAATGAAATATATATATGTTGTTGTTGTTAAATTCTGCCGAGTTGCTGTAAAATCCTATTGTATTTTGTTTCATTGCAATGATTACAATCTCCTCCATGCTTCAACAGTATTTGCGTCTATTCCCGCTGGTGTTTTTTTTTGGATGTACACAAAAACACTCAGGAATATGTAATAATTTAAACACCCAAAGGGCACTTTCTGCAAGCCTGCCTCCTGGCTGCCAGCATGCAGCCTTTCTCTTTCCATGAGTCTGGAGTCCTAAGCTGCTCTCTGTCTCCATGTCCTCATCTCTGCCTCCATCTCTGGAGTTGTTGCTTCTCTGGATAGGGTCCTGCATTCTGCTCAAGCTTTTCTCCCTTGGTGATGGAGAATAATTTTTGAAGAGCCCAGTCCAGTTGTCCTTGTTCTGGGTTTGCTTGATTGTTTCCTCTGGTCTTATTTAACTTGTTCCTCCAACTCCTTTATTTCCAATGTAAATTGTAAGTTAGATCTAGAGACCGGATAAGATTCGGATGGATCATCTTGGCAAGCATGTGTCCTACATGATGCTCCATCATATTACATCAGAGCGGGAAGCAGTGATGTCAGGGTGCCCTATCATTGGTTGGTGATAATCTGGTCACTTGGTTAAGGTGGTGCCTCCAGATCTGTCTGCTGTAAAGTATTTGCTCCCTTCGATGATGAACAACTCTTCTCTGCATGATATCTTGTTGTTGTTGTGTGCCTTTGAGTCAGTTCCCACTCATAGTGACCCTGTAAAGGGTTTTGAGGAGCGGCTGGTGAGTTTGAACCACCAACCTTGAAATTCAAACTGACATTGAGGTTGAGTACATATCCTAAGGCTCCACACCAGGATACTTGGCACCACGTAAATCTGTTTTCAGTGATGTCTTATCTAGTGGTTGAAGCTTCCGTTGGCCTTGCCTGGAGAAGTCATTGCACTTGGGGCTGCAAAGTGGTGGCTTTCTAATGATCATTTTAGTTTCATTAACTGGCAATTTTTTCAAAAGAAGGATTATCCTCTCCCTCTTCCTGTGTTACTGTGACCTTGGGAGTGGGGGCAGGGGTGGGGGAGTCTCTTGGTTCAATGAGTCAAGCGCATGACTGCTGACTGAAAGGGAGGAATAGTGGCAGTCTACTTTATTATTATTTTTATTTTTTAATTTTTTTTAGGAATACAAGATTGGTTTAATATATCAGACTCAATTAATACAGTATGTTATATTTCATTTTCTGTGTCTTTTTTGAAAAAGCTTTCTCTTCCAAAAACACAAAGAATTTGTCCTGCATTATCTTCTAAAATTTTAAACTTTTGTCTTCATATTTAAAACTTTGAAATGCTTTCTCTTCATTTATGGTATAAAGTTTCAATTTCATTTTTCCCATACTGATAAAAATTAGCCAGCATCATAAATAGGCAAGTCCTTTGTTTACCTACAGATTTGCAAAGCCAGCTCTGTAACAGATGAAGTTTCTTTATACAGCGTGGTCTGCTTCTGGATTCTCTGTTCACTTTTTTTTTTTTTTTT